GCAGGAGGATCGCTTGAGCCCAGGAGTTTGAGGTTGCTGTGAGCTACGATGATGCCACGGCACTCTAGCCCGGGCAACACAGTGAGACTCTGTCTCAAAAAAAAAAAAAATCCTGGGTCCTGCTTTAAACTACTTGGTTGTGCTCACTGCTGAGAACACATACGTACAGAGCACATGTGTTGCCACAGTAGCTGAGCTGTGTGGACCAGCACCCAGCAGAGGCAAAAATCAGGCTCTGAAGTGCCTGTTTCTGGAGGAAGATGAAGCAAACCCTGATGGCTGAGCCACAGATTTGGCTGGCAGCTGCCTGAGATGGAAGGAGAGTGTCCTTTCACACCTTCTGTTAAAGAAAGCATTCTTACATAAGCTGATTTCCAGCAGGGGCTAAAAAGAGATCCCTCCCAGAACCAAGAGAATATTGTTATTCCTTCCATATGGCATGAGCACTGTTACTCTGAATCACCTCCGTCTGAAAGCCCCAGCTTTCAGACATTTTCATTATAATCAAGTGCAATAAACTGCAGAAATGAGTGTCTTTAGTCAAACAATAAGTAAATACATATTATGCAAGATATGCAAATGGCGACTGCTCACTGGATGGGTAGAAAGAATTTTGGGGTGGGCCTGAGAGGAAGGAGCAGAAAATGACCAGCACGGGAGGTGCATTCTTGCTTTTGGTCATCCACACAATCTCTTGGGTGACTGTATGTCACTACCAAAATTGGTGCATTTCTTAGAGGTGACCAAAGTGATCATGTCTTATAAAGTGAATCACTGTAGTAGCCTGTTAGAGTCATGTGCAACGATTGGAATGTGACCAGACTTGAACTTAGAAAGTATTGAACATCTTTGGTTAATGTCAACTTGAGAATATGGAAAGCACAATAGTAATCACCATCTATTTAGTTAGTGAGACAGAGTCTTGCTCTGTCACACCGGCTAGAGTACAATGGTGTCATCATAGCTCACTGCAATCTCAAACAACTGGGCTCAAGTGATCCTCCTGCCTCAGCCTCCCAAGTAGCTGGGACCACAGGTGTGTGCCACCATGCCTGGCTAATTTTTCTATTTTTTGTAGAGACAGGGTCTAACTCTTGCTCAGCCTGGTCTCAAACTCCTGAGCTCAAGCGATCCTCCCGTCTTGGCCTCCTAGAGTGCTAGGATTACAGGCGTGAGCCACCACGCCTGTCCCACAATCATTTTTAACTACCACCTTGACTTAAGTGTTTCTCTTCAATTATCTATGTTGGCTCTTTAGGGCTCCCACTGAAAGAGAAGAATTCTGGTAGTGAAATGTTGACTTTTTTCCATATTTAGAAGTAGCTCCCTGGTATTTTGGTTTTACAGGCTGCTTGCCTTATTCTCCTCAGGAATTACGTGAACATTTGGTTCTCCTTTCCTTTTCCCTGTTTCCAAGTCATATCATGCGGAAAGCTACTTTCATGGGTGAGCCATAGCTAGCATTGGGAGACTCCACTTGCTTTGTATGTTGTTTGTTACAATGATTTGTGAAAGTACTTGGGAAAAGGAGAGATGCAAACTCAGGTCCAAAAATGACACCTGAGTGGTGTCATTTAAGAGTTGCTGAACTGCAAGAGGAACACGTGGAAATACTCAAATAGGGAATCTACTGAGCTCTCTCCAAGACATTCATCTTTTGCTATTCAGTTGATCTCTACCAGAGTTTCTTTATTTCTAAAACCAGAATCATATGGGCTTCTATATGATTATGTAATAACATACTTAAGAATTTTATTTTAAAAATATACCCTTCAGAAAAGACATAGTCACAATAAAAGTAAAAAAGTTATGTGTCCAGTCCATAGACAAACCCAAGAAAATCTTCTTGGTACTTTCTCTGTTTCAGCTGAGTCTCAC